TCAGATGATATAGATTTTACGCAAAGTAATACTTGTAATAATAATTGTATAAACCGTGATGATAAAACTGATAAATGTAATGATTTTTTAGACAAAGTTCCTCTAATAATAATAGAACCATAATGCAAAAGGCTACATGTAACTTATTTTTGGTATATTTTAATTCACAAAGTTTATTTGCTCACATTGATGAAATTAATCTAGTCCTAAATAAAAAACCATTGTTAGTTTGTCTATCTGAAACGCATTTAAGGGAAGATATGACAGTGAGGTAAATATCAATAGGTATAAAGCACATACTTTGATTTTCTTTTACTATACGGATAATGGTCGCACTGCGCAGCTTTCTGAGTGCCTTTTAAAAGGAGATAGAAAACTCCGCCATTTTGAACCCTTATTACGTGTTGCCTACATCTTGGCGCAGTATTTTTAATAGGTGCGTTTTAATCATCCGCTTCTGCTTCGGAATTGTCGGTTTTCTTGTTTTAATCTGACAGGTTAAAACGACTAAACCGACAATTCCGGAAGCAGAAGCGGATGATTAAAACGCACCTAATATTTTGCTTGCTGCTGTCAGTGTCAGTGAATATTATCTTTGAAGTCACAGTTTATTGCTAAAGAATCAGTTAGCTCACTCCGACCAGTTGAAAGTTCCAAAATAACATCCACTCCAGGGATACAAATTCAGGATACACAGAAGACTGCTGTTTTATTATAGGCGGTTGTCATATATTGTATTATCCGAGTTGCACAGTGTATTAACTGAAACATTGAGTTCCAAAGTGCCGACGCAGAGTGAGCGATCTGATTCTTTAGCTGTAAACTGTGTCACAGGGTTCAAAATGGCCGCGCCCTATGTTTACTTACAATAATCAAGAATCCTTAGTCATTTCTTTAAATAGCAGTTATGTTGAGTTTTTAAATTTTTTTGAACTTTGGTGCTATGAAAATACAGGGTGTCTGTAAAAGGTCTTTACAAAAACATACCACATATTCCTTAGACCAAAATAAGTCGATTTAAGTAAAATTACCTTAGTACAACGTTGCTTCGTTTGGGCTCCAGAGGGCCTTGAAGTTACAATTTTTAAATCGTTTTTCCCATATAAATTTAAAACGGCATATGCGATTTTGCTGAAATTTGGTATATTGGTAGAGTTTTATGTGGCAAAAAAAATGGTATTAAAATTTTGTCCGATAATAATACAGGCGTAGAACTTGATTTTTTAAATAATTGCACCTTTAAAAATTCTACGCCAATGGAAGAAAAGGAGTTTGAGCATGAAATTTAGATTGCGCAACTCATTTACTTTAAAAAAGGTACTCTTGATAAGATTCGATTACTCTCATGGTTTTCGCTAAATTTCTGTTTTAATCATTTCACAAAAATATTTATTTACAATATAATCAAAATAGAGATTTTACAAAAATTGTTCAAAATGTTCACCATTTTCACGCATACAAAGATTTATACGTCGAAGAAAATTAAAATGTATTATTTCCATAACTTCTTCATCACCTCTAAGATTGTTTATTGCATCTTGAATACGTTGCCAGAGTTGTTCCTCATTTTCTACAGGTTCCCTGTAAACTGTGAATTTCAGATGTCCCCATAAAAAGTAATCCATCGGTGTTAGGTCTGGGGAACGTGGTGGCCAGTTTACAGGTGCGTCATTACTACCTTTGCCTATCCATTTGTGTGGATATTGTTCATTCAAGTGGTTTCTAACGTTTAAAGAAAAATGTGGTGGAGCTCCATCTTGCATAAACCACATATCTCTCCGAAGTTGGAGAGGTAAATCTTCTAACAATTCTGGCAACGTATTTTGTAGAAAATCCAAATAATTTTCTCCAGTTAATCTTCGTGGAAGTATGACAGGACCAACAATGAAATTACCAATTATTCCAGCCCACACATTAATTTTGAATTCGTGCTGAAAATGGTTTACCTTTATTGCATGCGGATTTTCAATGGCATAAACATGTTCATTATGGGTATTAGTTATACCTCTTCTTGTAAAACCCGCTTCATCGGTAAAGAGAACCTTCTTGACAAAGTTTGGATCTCTTTCTCTTTTCATATTAACAAATCGACAAAAACCCAAACGAATTTGAGGATCATGGACTAATAATTCTTGTACTGGCTTCTTATGGTATGGGTATAACAATTGTTCTCTAAGCACTTTATGAACGACATCTTTACTTACTCCTAGTTCCCTTCCAATTCATCTGGTGCTTAATTCTGGATCTTCTTCAACACGTTCTAAAATGTCTTCTTCAACTTCAGGAATCCTTACAAAAGGTTCTCTTCCATTATCAACAGTGTTGGGAGCAAAGGAACCGTTCTCCCGAAGACGTCTATCAACAGCAGCAAAAGTTGGGTGGCTAGGTACACGAAGATTTGGAAACCTTTCAGAGTACACCCTGACACTCTCTCGAGCATTTCCTTCACACAATCCTAATGTCAGTAACATATCGGTATATTCTGCATTGGTATATTGTACAGCCATATTAATAAACCACGCATTTGTTTTTTTAATTATTGAGTCAGATAGAACACTTTCAATCGTTAACAAGAGATTAGGTGTTAAAACTTGACAATATTTTTATTTAGATGAAACTATGGAAACCAACAATAAATGTTTTTGTATACGTATTGCAGGCAAATAATTAATATTCCTCAAAAAATCGTACATGGCAAGAATCGAGTATTTTTGTTAAAAGTCTCGATTAGAGGTGTTGAAGAAGATATGAAAAAAGTACATTTTTATGTTTTTCATCATATAAAATTTTGTCCGATAATAATACATAGGCGTAGAACTTGATTTTTTAAATAATTGCACCTTTAAAAATTCTACGCCAATGGCAGAAAAGGGGTTTGAGTATGAAATTTGGATTGGGTACTCATTTACTACAAAAAAGTACCCTTGATAACACTCGATTTACTCTCATGGTTTTGACAAAGTTTGTATTTTAATAATTATTGTTTATGTTCTAAAATTACTAAAATGCAAATTACGTTAAAACCATGAGAGTAATCGAGTCTTACCAAGAGTACCTTTTTTAAAGTAAATGAGTTGCGCAATCTAAATTTCATACTCAAACTTCTTTTCTTCCATTGGCGTAGAATTTTTAAGGGTGCAATTATTTAAAAAATCAAGTTCTACGTCTATGTATTATTATCGGACAAAATTTTAATACCATTTTTTTTTGCCACATAAAACTCTACCAATAACCAAATTTCAGCAAAATTGGGAATTGATAAAAACAATTTTATTATAGCTGTATTCTTGGACCTTCAACGTGCTTTTGAAACAATAGATCGACTTCGACTAATTAAAAAACTTGAAAGTATAGGAATCAGAGGAAAGTTTTAAATTGGATCAACAATTACCTCACAAATAGAAAACAGAAGGTAAAAATAAAAAATATTATTTTTGATGAAGTGGTCAATGAATATGGTGTACCTCAAGGGAGTGTTTTGGGGCCCTAATTGTTTCTAATATATGTAGATGCCATAGGGGAGCTTCAAATCGAATGTTTATTACATTTATTTGTAGATGACACACTTCTATTTTACTCATCAAATAACATTAAACAAGCGGTGACAGTTGTAAATAAAAGTTTGGAAAAATTATATGAGTGGGCATGTGCAAATTTTTTAAAAATCAATGTTAATAAAACTAAATATGTTTATTGAAAATGATAGGGAATATAATAAGTTTCATGTAGATAACTATGTAATTAAAATTAGAATATATTAATTACAACACGTTGAAGAGTTTAAATATTTGGGTGTAAAAATTGATAGAACATTAAAATTTAAATCTCATGCTAATTATATTATAAAAACAATATCTTTTAAAATAAATTATCTATACAGATGTAGTAAGCACCTGACGCAGTGGACCAAAAATATAATATACAACAGGTTAATTTTGCCCCATTTTACTTATTGTGCTACAATACTCTACCTATTGGGACAAAATGAAAAAAGTAGATTACAAAAACTACAGAATCGAGCAATGCATACGATACTGTCCCGCTCTAGGCTGACCCCAATAAAAGATATGTTATCTCAGTTAAAGTGGCTTCCAGTTACAGATTTCATAAGGTATCAAACCCTAATTTTTATATTTAAAATTAAAAACGGCTGTACGCCTGAGTATCTGATGGATAAAATTGTATTTAACCATGAGATACATCAGTACAATACTCGTAACAGACAAAAAAATTTTATACCTCTGGTGGCAAAAAGAAGCTCTCAAAACTCTATATTTTTTAAAGGATTACAGGAATTCAATAGCCTCCCAGACTCTATAAAAAACTTCAACATCAATACTTATTTTCAAAAGCAAGGTTAAGCATTATTTGTTGGATGGGTAAAACTCTGAAATGGTTTTATTTATTATTATTATTATTATTAAGTCTAATTTAGTACTGCTTTAATATATTGTGTATGACATGTTAATTAGCCATATATGACTAAAATAAAGAGATATATAAATATATTGTGAAGAACAAGATGAATATACTGGTAGAATTTTTATTCAAGTTTCACAAAAATGTCAAATTATAATCAACATACGTTTTTTTAACATTAAAGACTCAAATATAATACCAACTTACTAGAAGTTCAGATTTGGTAACTAGAAACATTTAACGTTTTTGTTATTGAATAGAGTTTCACAAATAAACGTTATAAAAGTCGTTGGTTGAACTGTTGTTAGCTTAACGATGTCGTTCATAAACGATAAATTACTGAATAGGGCCCTAACTTTTGTTAGGATTGGTATTTCCTGAAAATTTCATAAAAATCGAACTAAAAATAAAAGCTCAAAAGGAATTATAAATGTTCAAGGTGTTCAATGTTACTCTCAAATCATTTAAGTACATTGTGGCAAAAACGTTATAGTGAGCAAAACCAAAAAATAGTTTATTAGTCATTATTACCAATGAACAAAATATACCATAATCATTTAAGATAATTTTTGGTTACTTACCTGGGAATATATTCCATAAATTGTTGGACTGAATTTTGGCCAAGTATTAAAGGTCTTTGGACAAAAATTTCCTAAAGGATCACCTAAAGCTGACAAAAATTGTATATAAAGAGTATGTTTTACTTCTTTTTTGATAGAACCCATAATATTTCCAATTTGTTTGGGATTAGAACATACCAACAGGCCAGTTTTTGCTAACATGTTTAACAAGGGTTTACGTACTACTGAAAAATAATAGCCCATAAAATACGTATAACATTAAAACATTATTAACTCAATAAAAATTATATGCTTCACAAATTAAAATAAAAATATTTTAGTTCATAATAATAATGACGGAACACAACATTATTTTTTTAATGTTTGATTGCACAGAACAGTTGATTGAAGTTGAAGTTTGAAGGTTATCTTTTCTAAAATTTCTTCTTTCTTTTTAATAAAAAAAAAGGTTCTTTCGTTCGTCCCACAGGTTTTTTATGGAGTTTTTTATTGCCGCGTTTGAGAATCCACATCGGATGCATCTCTGAGATGTAAAAAATCTTTGATCACGTAATTCATGCTGCGTTTGAGAATCCACATCGGATGCATTTTTTACATCTCGAGCGTTTTTTTATCCACATCGGACACATCTGTCCCATTACATTTACGTATACTGAATCACGTGATCAAAGATTTTTTACATCTGAGATGCATCCGATGTGGATTCTCAAACGCAGCATTCAGTATACTTAAATGTAATGGGACAGATGTGTCCGATGTGGATAAAAAAACGCTGGAGATGTAAAAAATGCATCCGATGTGGATTCACCGAATTTAAAGACTAATGCTGCGTTTGAGAATCCACATCGGATGCATCTGAGATGTAAAAAATCTTTGATCACGTGGTTCAGTATACGTAAATGTAATGGGACAGATGTGTCCGATGTGGATAAAAAAACGCTCGAGATGTAAAAAATGCATCCGATGTGGATTCTCAAACGCAGCAAATGACGTGCTAGTGTCAAAGATCGAATCACAGAACACACTCGATCGAATGTCACTAGCAAGTGACAGGTGACGACGTGACAGAACAACAATACACATAACATAACCACAATCACTCTTTATTTTGAACTTTGATACTTTTTAGTGAATAATTTTTAATAATTATTGTATGTTTTTCTTATCAGCTAGAACAGAAAAAGTATATTTTCTTTATACTAAAAAATTGCAATGGTGCTAAAATTATACTTCGACCTATTTTCTCAGCCCGCAAGATCACTTTATATATTTCTTAAATTGGCCAAAATACCCTTTGAAGAATGTCGTGTGAATTTAGGAAAAGGTAGATATTACTTTTTGTTCGTGGAGTTCCAACAAAAAAAATCTATTTTTTAGGGGAGCATTTAACTAAAGAATTTGCTGAAACAAAGTCAAAAATTCAAAAAATTCCATTTATTCATCATGGAGATTTTAGGCTAAACGAAAGGTGTAGTATTTTATTTCTTAAATTTTAATTACAAAATCTTGAAGCAAAATCAGACTGGTCACACAGACTCTCCACCTTGAATACTCTGTTCAAGCTGAAAAATATGAAAGATATATTATACAGGTTACAGACTTTTGATTGAAAATATTTTATCGAAATAATACTATTGAATAATATTTGTTTTCCAAACAATATGACCGAAATTGTAAAATATTGAAAGTACAATTAGGGAATGTAATTAGATCGACATACAACTACGACATTACAAAGATCGAAATGAAACTAATTGAAAAGAAGGAACATTATTTAAAACTTTACTAGGATGCATCCAATCTCGGAAATTAAAAAAAAATACTTTTTTAAGAAAACTGGCTATATTTTTCAAATAATATTCATTTAAATACTTGTACAAAATAGGAAACAAGTTAAATTGAAAATGTTATTTTTCTTAAGAATTTCTTAATTTGACCACCTTAATGGGTGATACCTGTGCATTTCACAATTTACATCAGGCGAATAAAGTTCCTAATAACACTGGCAGAATACTAGATCTTATATTATCTACAGATGGAAACACTATAGTGACCTTGAGAGATGAAGCATTGGTTCCAGCTGATGGTTACCATCCTCCTTTGAGCTTCCAGATTGTGAAATCTTTGATTCATTCTAATGTGAGCGGTCCCCAGAAAGACATTTTTTATTATGATTTTAGGTCGGCTGATTTATCTCTGTTGAAGGATTGTTTAGGTCAAGTAAATTGGGATGACTTATTATTACGTCAGGCAAAAGGACTTCGGTGGATAGCCTATTAGACTGAATTTTCAGTTCAATAAATGACAGTTATTATTATTACATCACTCAGCGAGGTTAATATTTTTTATATTCTCTATTTTTTAATCCATGCAATAATTCCACAGAAAAAAGCATCCAAAAGAAAATTTCCTCCCAGAGATACATCGTTAGGAAGGTAAAAAAGGGGCTTTTCAAAACAGTAACAATTCAATATGGCGCCCATATGAAAAAACAAAGTTGATGATGGTTCCAAGAAACCGAAACGTTGCAAATAAAATTTGACGACACATGCGTTTTCTACGTAAAAAGTTGCTCCAAGAAAGTTTTTACATATTTTAAAAAATCTCAAACTAAACGACATGGAATTATAAATATAATTGTCTGAAGATCTCCATTTAACTGTTTTTCTATCTCTAACAGTTTCGGACACACTCTATATTTTTTTAATTTTTATGGAAGTATCGAATTTTTAAAGGTAGGAACTTAAAAATTGGAATTGTACATACTCATCATAAATAATAATGCTGTATTTCAGGGTTTTTGGATTTTACATTTTAAGGGGGGAAAATAGGGAGTGAACGTTTGTAAGGGAATATAGATTTTTTTAAATGTAGGAACTTTGGAACTCATTATAAATAAATAATGACCTGTTTCAGGTTTTGGATTTTTCACATTTTAAGGGGGGAGTGGTGAAATAAAAATAAAATAAATAAAAATAAATAATAAATAAAAATAAATAAAAATAAATAAAAATAAATAAAAATAAATAAAAATAAATAAAAATAAATAAAAATAAATAAAAATAAATAAAAATAAATAAAAATAAATAAAAATAAATAAAAATAAATAAAAATAAATAAATAAAAATAAATAAAAATAAATAAAAATAAATAAAAATAAATAAAAATAAATAAAAATAAATAAAAATAAATAAAAATAAATAAAAATAAATAAAAATAAATAAAAATAAATAAAAATAAATAAAAATAAATAAAAATAAATAAAAATAAATAAAAATAAATAAAAATAAATAAAAATAAATAAAAATAAATAAAAATAAATAAAAATAAATAAAAATAAATAAAAATAAATAAAAATAAATAAAAATAAATAAAAATAAATAAAAATAAATAAAAATAAATAAAAATAAAAATAAAATAAATAAAAATAAATAAAAATAAATAAAAATAAATAAAAATAAATAAAAATAAATAAAAATAAATAAAATTATATAAAAATAAATAAAAATAAATAAAAATAAATAAAAATGAATAAAAATAAATAAAAATAATTAAAAATAAAAAAAAAATAAATAAAAATAAATAAAAATAAATAAAAATAAATAAAAATAAATAAAAATAAATAAAAATAAATAAATAAAAATAAATAAAAATAAATAAAAATAAATAAAAATAAATAAAAATAAATAAAAATAAATAAAAATAAATAAATAAAAATAAATAAATAAAAATAAATAAATAAAAATAAATAAATAAAAATAAATAAATAAAAATAAATAAAAATAAATAAAAATAAATAAAAATAAATAAAAATAAATAAAAATAAATAAAAATAAATAAAAATAAATAAAAATAAATAAAAATAAATAAAAATAAATAAAAATAAATAAAAATAAATAAAAATAAATAAAAATAAATAAAAATAAATAAAAATAAATAAAAATAAATAAAAATAAATAAAAATAAATAAAAATAAATAAAAATAAATAAAAATAAATAAAAATAAATAAAAATAAATAAAAATAAATAAAAATAAATAAAAATAAATAAAAATAAATAAAAATAAATAAAAATAAATAAAAATAAATAAAAATAAATAAAAATAAATAAAAATAAATAAAAATAAATAAAAATAAATAAAAATAAATAAAAATAAATAAAAATAAATAAAAATAAATAAAAATAAATAAAAATAAATAAAAATAAATAAAAATAAATAAAAATAAATAAAAATAAATAAAAATAAATAAAAATAAATAAAAAAAATAAAAATAAATAAAAAAAATAAAAATAAATAAAAATAAATAAAAATAAATAAAAATAAATAAAAATAAATAAAAATAAATAAAAAAACATTTTGTTAAACCATTTTTCGACTTTTGGTTTAGATTTTACTCCTATTTTTAAACTAGGTCATTTTTCGCTAGGTTGCAATTTTTTTTCTCCATCAACCATTTCGTCGACACAAAAAAATGCTTGCAATATCATCTTAGAATCAGAAAAAACACGTTTCAGTTATATATAATTTTGTTGAAAAACACAAATATTCGGTCACGTGGCCGAAATCCTTACACCGGAAGTAGCAAACCCGAACGACAGAAAATGCTTTCAAATCTCTTTTGATTGTTATAAACGTCTAGAAGCATTTTATTTCATTACCAGCAAAGAACGGAAATATCCGTCGATAAGCAACTTTACCTTGAATTTTATAGTACACGACAGCTTCCACCACCGAGACATAGTACATATTGTTAACCTCCCTTCTCCTGTACCCAACTACAAATAACATGCAAATTTCTTTGCAATTATGCAATTAGATGTGAAACTATTAAATTAAAAGGGATTGAGATTTGGTGAATCATGGACAGTCTGAGTCGAGCAGTCTGATTTTGCTCAAACTAACCTGAGCTTTATTTGTATAACATCATTTAAGTAGATTGATCAAGAGTTATATTTGAACTAAGTACTAGATAAAATAAATGTAGTACATCGGCAGAGTTTTCAGGCCAAATAAAAAACTTGGTAAACTATTGAAGCTGACTTTTTAATTTTGTTACAGACCTTTTAAACTGACGATTCAACATTAACTAACTATATAAATAAACTTAATCTAAACCATATCTAAACTGACTAGCAGACAAGTCCTTAATTCTAGTGAAAAGCGTAGTATTTTAACAATAAATCATTGACATTTGTTAGCAACATTTGGCTTTTATTCCATATTTATAAACATTTAAAACCTAATCATAATTCAAAAATTTAACAACACAAGATACCTATAAAAAATATAAATGTTGTTTATTTTTTGACCGTATTTTCATTTTGATATTTAAATAAAAAGACGAATTTAAGGAGCAACGGTTTATTTTAGGACATTACTTTTGACATTCTGTCACTATAATCGAAATTATGGTTAGTTAAGGTTGTAATAAAACTATATAATATGATACTTTAGATGCTTAACAAAAATTATATTCTAAACCTAACAATACCGAAATAAAATCGCAAAGGTGACTTACAAGAAAATGAGAGCGTCTAGGTATAGAGTCACTTCAGTGTTGATCTGCAGGACTTTGACAAGCTGAGAAGCAGTCTCTAGACACCTCTCGGCGACGTTGTGAACCAGTAGGATTGTTGACGAGCTAAGAGTCAGCTCCTATATGCTTCTAGAGGCCCACGTAATGTAAGGTCAACCCACCCTCTCACCTTACAGATGCAGATAATGATACCAAATGTATTAGAGGCAACTACTCTTAACACTTAATAATTATACAAACTATCTCTTTTTCACTCTGGTATAATTTCTGAATCAACTCACCACATTCCAATTTGATTGTCTAGCACATTCAATTCCCTTGGACAATGTAATTGGACAAAACTCAGTAAAAATAAATCTATTTGATCAATTTACTTGAATTCCTACTATAAAACAATCTCGGTAACTCCTGAATTTAGTATAGGTATAGTGAGATACTTATCTAGAGAGTATAGCATAGCTGACCATTGGTATCCAAAAGATAGCAAAAAACAAGCGAAGGTAGATGAATTTTTAGAATGGAACCATTTAAACATTAGATTGAACTGTTCAAGCTATTTTCTTGTAAAAGTAAGTTTATTTAAGAGCGATATCCATGGTTAGAAACTGGCTTAAAACGACTTCAAGGTTCTCTTTCTCAGTTTTAAATATTTTTTTATAAAATTTGGTATACCTACTAAGCAAATGATAGAGAATTCCGCTGTAGAGCCCGAATTCAGAAATACTTATTTTTTAATTTTTTCTATACAAATTATGAAAATTATTGCAAAAAGGAGTCTTTACCGGGAATTGTTAAATAAAAATCAGCAAATTTTTTCCAATACACGTTTTTGTCTAACGCGTATATTTTTTGAAAACCTTGAATTACGAAATCTGAGAAAATCTGTCAAGATTCAAATCCATATTAATTGATTTGGCAACAAGGCGGCGGACGTTGGCGGTGCATGCAGTACCGGAAAATTAGGATAAAAGTATTTAGGTAGTCATTTAAGTCGCTTAGGATGAAATTATTAAAAAAACTTTACTCTTTTTAGTTCAAGTGTAGGTGTTTTCGTTTCGTATTTAGTTAATGTGTTTATATGAACTTTTGTGTGTAAGCTGAGTTATAATAGTTTGTCGTAAAAATCGGAAAACTTTCGGAAATGCCGAAAATGATATTTCCATTTTGACGAAAATGTATAAAATATCGTGCAAGATTACTTAGAAAAAGACACACACTATCACCTCTTATTCCAGTCCAGTTCAGTTTCTGCCCTTCTAAGCATTAAAGTTAAAATATATGGGAAATTAATATACTAAGTATGGAACAGAAAAAGAACCTTTAGCTTTAAAGCAATATTCACAAATTTAAAGCGGATGTCCAATAATTGTGGTTTATTTGAGGATTCTGAATTTGGTTTTTAGGTCCCGACGGTTTATTAGGAACCGATAGTATCATCGAAATTAAATATCTTGCTTCAAAACTGACTACGAAAAAATCAAGGGTTTGCAACATAATAACATTTGCAATTATTAATGATGGCAAAATGCAATTAAATCGAAATCATAATTGTTATTATTACCAGGTTCAGGGGCAACTTCACGTAACTAAACGAAGTATTTGTTTTTTTATTATTTTGATACCTTTAGGTATGTTTGTAGAAAAAATAAAAAAAGATGATAGATTTTGGTGTATATGGAAAGCAAACTATAGCAATTTTATTTAGATTGTATAGTACCCGAGATCTTAGATCCACGTTTCGCTAGAGGTTTAGATTTTAGAAATCCCAGTAGAAATCCGAGTAGAAAACCGAGTAGAAAACCGAGTAGAAAACCGAATAGAAAACCGAGTAGAAAACCGAGTAGAAATCCGAGTAGAAATCCGACCAATAGTCAATAAAGATGATTATTTTTATTTCTTCTTTTACTAATAATAAATCATTTTACTCAATGTTATTTTTATATATTTTTAGTACTAGGAAACAATTTTTTCTGCACCCAAATGGATATTAGCTTATCTACGTACAGAATACAAAACGAAAAAATATGCTATTGCCTAAAATGAGTTATACTTGTGTAGAATCGATAAATAATAGCATTTCTATGTTTATTTGATCTATATTTAGAAATAAATAATTATAAATTTTAATAAAACTATATGAAATCCATTTAATTTAAATTCACTCTTGTTACACAAACTACTATTTTCTACACCCAGATGGATATGATTTTTCCTATACCCACATGGTTATTAGCTAATCTACGCACATACTACAAAACAGAAAAGTATTCCATTGCGTTCAACTGAATATTTCATATCGATTCTACCTAGTAAGAACACTGCAAAACAGTTAAATCCACCATTCAGCTTATATTTTGGTCACCCGGTTACTATTATTTTTTAAATTTTATGTAAGTAACAATTCTGTCAAACTAACTGTCAGTATATTTTTGAATTATGAGATTTAATATACTGTCATGAAATTCCTAATCCGACCCTGTGTCTAAAGCAAGCGCGACCTTCAGCTGGCTCTGACTCATGCTCGAGGCAACGGAATGTTCTGGGAAAGCCGCTGAGGCTCGAGAAACGGGTAGAGTGTGCCGTTGAGTCAGAGATGAAATTTTCGGGACCGTCTAGAGACTTCTAGTAGCAGAGTTGGACTTAATATAAATAGCCCGACTCATCGTCGGGCTGTTTAGTTTAGTACAGAGTATTATAATGAAAAGTTAAATTGTAATAAATAATTTAGAATTGTTAATCAGTGTCTAAGTATTATATAAATTAATTAGTACGTCTGAAATAAATTGTAAATAGTGTGTTATAAATAAATAACCTATAAAATAAATTAGACTATGGTTACAATACGTAAAAATGAATATTTCTTATGTATAATCGATAAGTAATAGCATTTCTATTTTTATTTCGTCCAAATTTACAAACAAATCTTACATTTTAATTAAACCATATAAAACTAATTTAATTACAAGTATTAGAACTAAAATGGCAATTGTGGCGAATGGCATGAGGGCACGGATGAGTTTGTCTCCAAGCAAGAGGCCTGAGTTTAAATCAGGGCTGGGGACTAATTAAATTATTTATTTTATTTTATAAATTAGTAAAAGTCATACATTATTTTAAAATTATTTATTTTGTCTCAATAACATACTTTTTTAAATTTGTAGAATTTCGTTAGTGTGTCGTAGAAAAAATATACTGTATAACTCGAGTGGATTGTCCGTATTGCACTCAGACGATTAACCACTCCGTCTACGACGTCGTTCTCAAACTTCGTCTTCGTGCGATATGGCCATCATATCCAATTTTGTTGCACAAACTACTATTCACGCACAGACTACAAAATGAAAAAATATACTATTGCGTTCAACTCGACGAATATATTTCATATCCATTTTAGGTAGTGAGAACACTGCAAAAAAAATGAAATCCACCAATCACAGTTTATATATTGGACACCCACTACTATTATTTTAAACATTTTAAATAAGTGGCAATTCTGTCAAACTAATTGTCAGTATATTTTTTAGGTATTGAGATTAAATATACATTAAAATATTTAAAATGAGTTATTTTTGAGTAGAATCCATAAATAATTTTAATTTATTTTTATTTGGACCACATTTTAAAAAATCTTAAATTTGAATCAAACTACTTATATGAAACTAATTTAATTACTATTAGAACTAAAATTCCAAATGTAGAAGTGAAAATGAGGATACGGCATCTGTCTTTCACGCGAGAGGCCCTAGTTCAAATCTGGGCTTCAAGTTTATTTTATTTCACAAATTAGTAAAGTCATAAATTATTTTAAAATTAGTTATTTTGTCTTTTCCTAAAATAATACTTTAAATTTGTAGATTTTCGTTAGTGGGTCGTAGAAAAAAACATACAGTACAACTCCAGTGGATTGTCCACTGTTGTTGCACAAACTAGTATTAAATGGATTATTATTTAAAAAACGTATTTTTATAGAGGGTATTTGTAAATAAGTACGAAAGATTTTTGCAAATTGTTAATAAAGTTCCTATAAAAGTAGGTCGAAATATGCTTCGTTTCCGGGATACAGAATGTTTAAATTTTAATTTATTAAATTTTATTAATTATTTCAAATAGTTTTAAAGATATTTACTCTAAATTTGCAAAAAAACTTTGAAGGGGCAAATGTGTATTTTTTGGGGTGTTCCAAATATTTGTACTTGCAGCAGTGGCGTTTGTGCGAGAATGCCACTTTTTTTTAATAAAAAAATTCTGCGCCACTGACTTTTTTGATCTATGTTTTTTTATATAATAATTTCTGCAAACATTCCCTAAAATCATTCACACTTACCAACAAACACCCTGTATATAAGAAAATGTAGAAATAGGTACTTTTTAGATATGTTTTCGAAATAATCATAAGAAATACATATGTATATTTAAAAATATATTTCGTAAATAAATTATTAATTATTAGTTAGAAAAAAGAGTTTCGAAAATGTTACACCAGGTTATACCTTTAAAAAATATTTTAAACGAGAAAACAAAACAGAAATACTCTTTGTTAGACCGGACCTTTTTTATATTTTAAATCATCTATAATTTATAAGTAATAAATTGAAGGGAGCGTAAGTCTGGGAATAGTTAGAGCAACGTTGCCAAAGTGCGTTCAGATGCACTGAAAGTTGTCAGTGTGTTCTAAACCTGAATTTGCTGTTAGGTGTCGCATGGATATCGCTCTTAAGTCTTGCACTCTATAACACGGTATATTATTATAAAAACATTTTAATTATTTAGTGGTTGATGCCATTGAAAAACGGCAAGCAACCTTCAGAAGAAGAATGTAAAAATCTAACGAGACGCATGGAGAAATCATTAGAAGATTTTGAACGCATATTTCTATCAAATGAACGTTTTTTGTTTGGAAACAGTGTCTCTTATGCAGATGTTCATGCTGCTTGTGAAATTGAGCAAACAAGTAAGTTTGTTTTTTAATGAAAAACCTGGCTAAATATTTCTTATTTTCGATTATTTTTAGGAATGGCTGGATATGATGTAAGAGATCATTTTCCAAAGATAAAAACGTGGATTGAAAGTGTAAGATCAGAATGTAACCCAGTGTATGATCAAGCTCATAAGTTTGTTAATATGATGGCAGAAGGAAATGAAAAGCAGTTAAATTCGAAACTTTAAATAACTACAAAGTGAACTATATTTTTTTTAAACAGATTTTATGTTTTTGTTTTATTATTTAAAATATATAGTTTTTAATGTTATAACGGTATTGGATAATGTTAGTATAATAAAACATCTTGTTTATTCTGCATAACACGTTAAACTTTATTATGATTCCTTTACTTTCATTTTAAAATAGATTATTCAGCTACTTTAGAGATTGGAAGCGAGAATTTATTCTTGCTAATGAGTCCTTTCCAGGACTAAACCAGTCTAAGAAAGGCATTTTCCTTAATAAACGGGATCAAACCTTGAGTATTATAAATATTTTTCTCTCTGCTGTTTTTCCTTGGATATAATTAAACTAATGCCTGTTGTGGTATTAGCTAAGCGAGTAGTTGTTTCTTATTTTCTTTTTCTAGTAATGTTGAAGACGTATCCGAATTATATTTAATTGAAAAGGATTAGTTAAGAGTTGGATAATTGGATCTTGTAAAATATATGAATCGGTCATTTGAGAAACAGCACATGTCAGTTTTAGATCATTTTTCAAAAAATGAGAAAAAGTGAAAATCTCAAAACATGGATAAAAAATAGTTTTGTACACTTAACGTTTAAAACTTGCTCTATTTTGGGTACAATACAATAATTATAATTTACCTTTAAATATTGTATTTTTGTAATAAAAACAAAATGGCCAAAAATGTGACATGTGTCGTTTCTCAAATGACCGATTCATATGGTTGTGCACTTAGACCTATTTACAGGGAAAGCGTTATTTTTACACCAGGTTACATCTGGGAAAGGAAGGGATTGGTTAATAAGAAAGCAGGACGTAATATCATTGAAAAATAAGGAAAATAATAGGGCACCAACTTGAATATGTGAACCTTGTGGAATACCGGACATGCCTGAAATGTCACATGATACGGACGTAATATCATTGAAAAATAATAGGGCACCAACTTGAATATGTGAACCTTGTGGAATACCGGACATGCCTGAAATGTCACATGATACGGAGTTACACACTATGACACGTTGACAGCGATGGTTCAAATAAGATTCAATCTGGTAAAGATAACCGGAGATACTGATTTCGGAAAGTTTTTAAGTAGCAATTCCTGACAGACAATGTAAATAGTGTCCTTTTTCCAAAAATGCTTGTCTTAGAATTGAAGTAAAAGTTGGAAAGGCTTTTGCCAGTTCTCCCACTTTATACACATACATTGACAGGTTGGCGGCGTATCTCACCGAAGTGGACGCGATACATTGGCGTACAAAATTATTTTATAGATGTTAATAACAATTTCGAGTAAATAGTTTAATAAATTGTGAAATAGCTGTTGAAATTTTGTGAAATTATGATTTGAATATTATAATACATGTTTAATAATTATTTATAGTCCATAAATACATGTGATTGTCCGGTTCCGCCGATAACAATTTAAAATTACTTATTCTATGAAACGACACTGGCAGGTAAACATCACTGCGAAATTCTCGAAGCGTGTTTTGACGTTTACCCCCTCTCTACCTATCAAAAGCCTTTCCAACTTTTACTTTCGCTATAAAACAACTAAGACCCCAAATAGTTTGTCTTACCAATAGTCTCCGAGTGGTACAGTTAAGGACAGAAATGCCCCCATTATTTTGTCTTACGATGCGGTACTAGATTAGATATTCAGTTCCACATAAAATCACATTCGTTTTATTCTTATACCTTATTATGTAAATATTAACCCATTTTCCAAAAATGCTTGTCTTAAAGCAACTAAGCCCCCAAATATTTTGCCTTGCGAATAGTTTCCGAGTGGTACATTTAGTAAGGAATAATCTGACAAAAAAATCGTTTAACTTAAGGACAGAAATGCCCGGCACTGTAAATAGTGTCTACCTGGTAACCGTTATTTTCAATTGATGAAACAAAAAATTCTCAGGTGGTTACCCAGATCTTTTCCACTCCATTCCCGGATATGAGCAGACGCGTTCATGTATGGGTTGGTTATAAACGCCTTCGAATAAGTTAACCCCAGAATGTGTCTCCCAGTTTGTGAGTATTGCACCATCCGTCTGTTGTGTTGTTGATTTTTGTTAGGTTCAGACCTATATATGTTTAAATTGTAAGGATGTTGGCAGATTTTATTGAAACAAATATTCCATTATTAAACGTGTGTATTTTCAAGAATCAACAATTGACAACATGGTGTCAGAAGTGTCGCGTCGATTTTAATAAAGAAAGGATGGTTTTATATTAATTGGCCAACATAACCTAAGATTTGAAGAGATTTCCTCGTGGTAAAAAAAGGCAGATTGCGAATATTAGTCAGTCGTCGTCGTCAAGCTGTTAGTCAAAAGTCTATAAATAATGTCTGATGATACTGAAACAGGGTCAGAGGAAACAGTTATCAGTCAAACGGTCGTCAAAATGAAGAATTCTGGAGTTGGGCACAACATACCTCCATTGTCATTAAAAGGCAACATTTCGAGAAATTGGGAAGATTGGATAGTCAATTTTAAAATTTACTTGAGAGCCAGTGGGTTGGAAGATGAAAATGAGAATAGGAAGGTAGCGCTGTTGTTACATCATATTGGTGGTGAGGCAAGAAATATTTTTAGGTCATTTGAAGTGGATATGGACACTTGTACTTATCAGGAAGTGGTGAATCAGTTTGAAAAACATTGTAAGCCAAAGAAGAACCTTACAGTGGAAAGGCATAATTTTTTAACTAGGACTCAAAAAGAGGAAGAATCGGTAGAAGACTTCATGACAGTATTGAAGAATCTAAGTCTTTCATGTGAGTTAGGTACTCTTAAGGAAAGTTTGGTATGTGACATGTTTATCATAGGGTTAAGTTCTAAGCTACAATCAATTAAAGAAAAATTGTTAAGGGAGGAAACACTAAATGTAGAAAAAGTTTTAAATATTTCAAAAAGTATTATTGTTACACAAGTACAGGCTCAAAATTTAAATAAAAACAGTGAAGCGGTTGTCTATAAGGTGGAAAATAAAACAAATGGTCAAGGGACTAAATTTAAAAATAACCAGTCTAATTATTTTAGTCAAAGTAATAGGCCTAAAAATAATCAAAATTATTCTAGTAGCCCTGGCACTAGTTTTGAAAATAGTCACTATAAAAATAGTCCAAGTGTTAATTACCAAAGTCGTGGATATAATGATAACTATAGAAAGGGTCAAGGCCAATTTGTTAAGGGTCAAGGTCAATTTGAACATAACAGGAATAAGCCTAATAATTATTATCCTAAGTACCAGTCTAACAATTGTAGTCAGTGTGGTCAGATTCACAGGGATAAATGTCCTGCTTTTGATGTTTTATGTCACTCTTGTAACAAAAGGGGTCATTTTGCATATTGTTATAATTCTCAAGTCAGAATGGTTAATTCTAATAATGATGGTAATTTTGAATCCTGTTTTGTAATAAAGTCTATTAATAAAGTCGATAATGTTGACAGTAATAATGTATGGTCAGTCAATTTAACAATAAATGAATTAGAAATTAAATGTATCTTGGATACTGGTGCAGAGGTCAATGTTATGTCTTATATGTTATTTAAGGATATTAAGGTCAATTCTAAAATTTTACCTACAAATGTGAAACTGAGGTCATTTTCTAACAATGTATTACCAGTCATAGGTCGAGTCATATTAAACTGTGTTATAGATGGTAAAGTAGTAGAATTAGAGTTTATATTAGTGGAAATGTATTGTCAAACTATTTTAGGTCTTATCACGTGTCAAAAATTACAATTAATTAAAAAAGTTACAATAATTGGTCATGAGTCAGTAGTAAACCAATTTACAGATGTTTTTAGTGGTCTAGGTTGTTTACCTAATAGTTGTAAAATTGAAATAGATAAAAATATACCTCCAGTTGTTGAACCGCCTCGTAGAATACCATTTAGTCTGCATGACAGACTTAAACAAGAGTTGGACAGAATGTTATCTATAGGGGTAATAGAAAAAGTTCATGAACCAAGTGAATGGGTAAATTCAATTGTCATTGTAGAAAAGAAAAATAAGTCATTAAGAGTTTGCCTAGATCCAAGGAATTTAAACAAAGCTATAAAACGCTGTCATTATCCAATTCCTACTTTTGAAGAAATTCGTTCAAAATTGTCGAATGCGAAGTTTTTCTCAACTTTAGATGCGCAGTCCGGGTTCTGGATGATACCTTTGGATAATGAAAGCTCCAAACTTTGTACGTTTGGAACGCCTTTTGGTAGATTCAAGTTTTGTAGGCTACCCTATGGAGTTTCATGTGCTCCGGAAATTTTTCATAAAGCTATGTCTGAAATAATATCCAATATAGAAGGTGTTTGTCTGTATATTGATGATTTATTAATATATAGTGATTCTTTAGAAGAAAAAAGTTTTAGAAAAAGCCAGGCGGGAATTCAATTTAAAATTTAATTTTGATAAATGTCATTTTTTAATGTCCGAAGTCAAATATCTAGGTCACATATTTTCTGCTAACGGGATTAGTCCAGATACAAATAAAGTTAAAGCTATATGTCAATTGTTGATTCTTGAAAATACACACGTTTAATAATGGAATATTTGTTTCAATAAAATCTGCCAACATCCTTACAATTTAAACATATATAGGTCTGAACCTAACAAAAATCAACAACACAACACCATCCATCTTGAGATAATTTATTTGACAGTCCTCTTTGCAATACCCAGGAATGGTTCTTGTCCTATGATTCGGTTTCTCTTTTAGCGAACGCGTCGGCTTTTTTCTTTGCCCTCCACACCGCTGTGTCCCAGATCAAAGTATCTCTTTTCCGGGCACCGAGACACTCAATGGTATTTATACATTTGAAAACCAGCTTTGAGTCAACTCGATTAGAGCTCAGGGCCGTGAGGGCTGCCTTATTATCCGAAAAGATCTTTATAGCCTCGTTAGCAGGAAAAAAATTAATTAACTATGTCGCTCCTAATTCTATAGCAATCATTTCTGCTGACCAGAGAGCCCAGGTTTATTGATATGTCAACTCTTGGCTACTGGTCGAGAACTATCGCTTCTACTCCTTTTTCAGTTTTGGAGCCGTCTGTACAGCGCCATACGTCTCTCTCTGGAACGAGGATGCTGTATGACTGTTCTATGTGCTGTCGGGAACCTAACGT